GGTACTAAACATTCATCAAGCCCACCCACCTTCTTCCCTGGAGAGTGACCCAGTAGCTGAGTTACAGTACTAACAAGTCCTGACCTACGGTGTACTTCTGTGAGATGTGGTTTTATGTTTGAGTGGTTAAAGATTGATTTAAAATTTATATAGTTTTGAACAAATGACTGGAAACAAAATAGATTACTGCAGGTTTCACTAACCCATTGTCTCTCCTCCTTGTGTTTTCCACACAGCATCTTACACTAGGTTTGTCTCTTAGTACCCAGAGTTACCCAAATAGCATGCAGGCAGTTGATTGTTAAAACAGAGAAGGGGAGATCCAAATTTGGTCATGCTTTAAGTCATAAGGAATAGTCTGCGGGGGGTTTAAAATGCTTGGTCTGTCTCATCACGTTGTACTGGATAAATCACTGCAGCATTGGCTTTTACTTTACTTGCCTTGAAATGTCACGATCTGTTGGTAAGAGGGAGGAGGTGTGCTCCATGAGAGGAAGCCATTGGTTTAGGCAGTTGTTATAGGCTGGATTTTGTAGTGGGTTCATAATCCATCCTGATAAACTTTGTTCATGCGCATGTGATAAATGGACAGTTGCGTGTTCTGTGGATGCAGCAATGATGTGCTACACGCAAGGAGGTTTGGATTGCTTGCTGTGATTAACAGGTGCGTTATTATTGCTAATCAGAACCCTGATAACTAAAATTAATAGTGGGTACAAAGACGAGCAATTAAGGACATTCATCTTCCAAATGAGTCTACAAGATTCATTGGTAGTTTAAATTTATATACTGAGGGCACTTAAACCATTAAGCAGGGTAATGGGTGCCCTGCAGGCATGTGCTTTGAAGCCGTATGTCATTTTGGTGCTGGGACAGCAGACAGTGATAACTTCCCTTTAAGGGAAACTGCTATTCATTTATCAATTAAATGTTGAAGGAAATGTACATTTTTGCTGTGGAGTGATCATAGCAGTGTATTGTAAGTTAAATCAAAGATCAAGATTTATGTTCTAAGCCCTTCTGGCTTTATCATGATAGATGTTAATTAGAAAAGTCTCTTGGTGGTAATAGGGCATTGGCGTTGGGGCCTTTAAAGGCATAAATGTTTCTTCGCACAAATATTTCTCTTCTTTTGCCTTGCAGTCTTTGACAGTAACACTGATGTAGTAACCAACTTTAGTGCAGAGTATGAAATGTTGGGGCTTTTTTGTTGTTGTTGCTGTGTTTATGTTGTCACAGGGTAACATCTGAGAAGGTTTTGCTAACATGGAGCTGAATATGAAGTTTTAAGGTTTTATGGTACAAGGATATAGCAGTGTAGAGGTTTCTTTCTCTCCTGGTGTTATCCTTGCCAGCCAAAGCACTGGTTAACAAGTGGTCCTAGGAGTGCCCTGGAATGAGTATCTGGCAGTGGTTTTTAGTGAAGGAGAATTAGCTAAAACTTAGGTGGTTTTGTCATTTAGTCAAAATGACAAGTACTTATGCAGAACTGTGGGAATTATTTGAGTTGTCTCTTACTGAAGATGAAACATAATCTCAGTTTGGGACACAGTCTAGATTTTCTGATGAAATTTGGTAAAAGGGACTTCCCCTTCCCCAAATATGAACGCTGTTTTTGCAAACTCTGTGCCTGTTATGTGACATTTGAATACTCTGTTTTGGGTAGGTAAAAAATATTCTTATCCTCAATTTGGTGACATACATGTCCATTCCTCCTTTCCTTATTCTCTGGCCAGTCCTAGTTCCAGGCCACGTACATCTCGTACGGAGGGCAGAAGTGAGTACAGACTGTAGTTCTTCATGGTCCTCGTTCTCCCCCTTTCCCATCTCCAGCCCGTTCTCCTCCCAGGTGTAGTGTGGGCTGGTGAGAGCCTGGCAGGCATGGGAGGGTGTTCGCTCTTGATGGAGTGGTGGTGACTCATCCTACGGTGACACTAGAATTTACCATAACAAGGATTTTTTTTGTTTGTTCTTGGGACCCGCAGTACTTGTCCCATATTTTGTATTCGAAAAGTCAGACAATGAAGTCATCACAAATGCTCCTGTTATTCTAGGGGTGTCTTCTTAATAAGAAGAATTTTTGTTGTAACGACAGTTTTTGATTGGATTGATAATGCCCTAACTACTGAGGATAGGGAGGAGAGGATGCAAGAAATATCTCCCCTGATTTCCAGGAGTTGTTTATAATCTAATTCTTGAGTTCTTATATAACTTCTTTTCTGGATTAAAAAATACGGCCTAAATGAAGATGAATGCACTGTTTTCTCTTTCACTCTCTCCTGGTCATGCCTTTTATTTTTGAGCAGGAGGAGCAAACTCAGGGACTGTGTACCATGAATGGAGAGAACTGATGCTGCAGAGTTGTATGTGTGATATCTGTATTTTCTTGCATTTACGCTCTATTCTTCTTCAACCGGGCTCTTTTGATTCCTTTATTACTTCTGTCTCAAACCTTAATTTCTTGTTTTCTTGTTTTCTTCTCTCTCTCTTTCCCAGCCTACTTAATTGCCTTAAGTGAAGAATGTAAAAAAACCTCACAAACTTACTGAATGATACAGGGCAGACATTACTGTGTTATACAGGAATTTTTGGTGTTTCCCCCTCCCCCCCCATCTTTTACATTTCTCCCCTTCTTCTTTCTCCCTGTCACTTTTCCTCACAACTTTTGTTGTAAGGTTTTCATATCTGTTGTTTGTGTGACCCTGAAAAAGCACCTTCAATTTGTGTTCTGTCATGCTAGATTGATTTAATAAAGCAAGATTATCCAATTCATTCTGCAGCAATTATTTCATTTCTAAGTAATTTTAATTATTTTGTCTGACTGCTTTTGTTTTGGGCACGCTATTTATCCTTGTCGGTGTTTGGACTACTTATGCTTTCAGTGCATTGGAGTTGTTGATTTACACCTTTAGTTCTTGAGCCTAGTCCATTATTTTCTGTTTCCCCCTTGTTTTGGATAGCCTGTTGCTTTTTGTCACGCAGACATTGGGCCAGGTTTCATTTGGGCTCAGTGACTCAGCCTGTGATCTCCTGCTCTGACAGAACGTGCTCTTGGGAGAAATGGGTTGTGTGAAGCAGAGACATTTTAAGAAGAGAGGGGAACGCTGACGGATGAGCTGCTTGTGGATTTTAGCTTTGTGCAGGCAAGCCTGGGCCACAGGTTGCATAGACTTTGTGGTTGTGGTGCGCCCAGGAGGAACACCTCTGCTTGACTCTTGGAAAATCTCTGCTTTTAAATAAACTAATAACAAGTTTCTTCCCTAGGGGGATGTACGTTTGATGATGGTCCTGGACCCTGTGACTACCACCAAGACTTGTACGATGACTTCGACTGGGTACATGTCAGTGCTCAAGAGCCTCACTATTTGCCGCCTGAGATGCCTCAAGGTGAGAACCTCCCCCAGATACTGAAGGGATAAGTTTCTCTGTGAAGAAGCTCAGACCCTCACTGAATATGGCCTCAAGGCCGTACTCTGTGATCTCCACTTTAAAATTGATAATGGAGGTAATAAAAAGAAATAAAAATAATAAATATAACAGTCTTGGTACTTGAAAAACCTTCTTAGATCAAATCTCTCTTTAAAGTTGGGGGGAATAGGGAAGGGAGAAAGGAAGTCATAACTACTTCTTTATTCTGCATGGAATTCCTGTTGACTCGCAGTGGAATTGTGTCTTACATGACAGCTAATGTATCAGTTGAATTATTCAGGTATGCATTAGAATAAATGGTGGAAAAAAAGGATACATGCAAAAACCTGTACACTGATTCCTTCCCTCCCCTCCCCCCAACGACTCATCATCTGAAGGTAATCAGAAAAGCTTTGATTTATGGAAATACTGCTGTTGTTAATTACTATTTAGGACAGGTAATGAATAACTGAAGAGGTGCAGCCTACATGACCTTGCCTGCTCACCTTTGATGAACAGCTTAATCGGCGCTTCCCAGACAGCATGATATGCTGAGAAAATGAAAGCATTTGAAATTCAGCTACATTTTCCAATTAATAGTACATTAAGTAATTAATCATGCAGAGGAGGACAAAAGGTCATGGCTATTTTATTTGTATCTAAAAGGTTTTGTGAAGTGAGGTATGTGTGGAGGAGGAGTGGGAAATGTTATCACACAGAAGGAACCTAACCTCTGCACCATTCCTTTACCTGCTTTTTATATATTGTACATTATTACTGGTGGTTAGTGTATGTAATTTTACTTCTTAAGTGCTAACTAGCTGGGTTCTGTCTGCTTTGGAGTCACTGATATGAACAGCTATTACTACGACCCATATCTTACAAAATAGGTTAATTAAGCAACACTTCATTTAATGGACTGCTTGGTGCTTCAGGTTTGCATATAGAAGAGTAAATTTAAGCCCCAAAGCATCAATCAGCATTCATGATGCTGATGGTCTTGTATTAACAAATTCAAAATAATATCTCCCCTAGGAAGGCAGAAATTAGTTACTTTTCAGTTTGCGTTTTTCAGTCTACGTGGTTTGTTAAAATGGTGGAGGTATTTTAACTGTGATGGAAGCACCATTTTGTAAAAAATTTGGTTTTCTCGGACTTCAAGCACACCTTGTATAGGAAGAAAGAAATTTGAGGAATTGTATTTTGGATTGAATCTAAATGACAAGATAGCTTCTTCTTGCTTCTCCCAAATAATATGCCTGTCATCCTTAGGCAGTTTTCAGAGTTAAATGACACAGTGCTCTCTGACTTTGGCACCTGATTTCTGTTCAGTTCTGCTACAGACCCTTTTCCTCTGAGCGTAGCGCATGGACTTCTCTGGAAGAAGTTATTTTTTTCACATCTGTATGTGAAATTGTGGCTGCTCAATAAAATCTAGCAGAATAAAGGAATGTTTCAGAGATAGTCTAAAACAGATACAGAAGAAGCTCTGAGTATTTTTTTTTTTCTTCTTCTGGTTAGAATTCTATGCTTCTTGGACCACTGTTTAAAAGTTTGCAGTTTGGTAACTGACATCCAGACTAAAGTGAGCAGTTTCATCTGATGAGCTGCCCTTAAGAAGTTCACAGTTTTCAGATTCTGAAGATCTATACTGTATCTAAATACTTAAGCTCTTTTGTGTTTGAAATAGCACAATTTCAAATTAAGTCTAAGAATGTCACACAGTTCTAAAACAAGCTCTGAATTCCTCCGGTGGGTCTGGAGGAAGTGGAGCAGCAAGAGGTTCGAGTAAAAGCAGAAGGGAAATAACTGTGTGCAGTCATCTGCCGTGCAGTTTTTTTAACATTGACTCTGCCTGATTACTGTTGAAACTGTAGGCTAGAAAGCAGTCCACTGCTCGTGAAGAAGTTATCCAAGTAGAACAAGATGTGGTAATGAAGGTATAGGTAAAATTAAACTACTGGTGTTTTCACTTTGAAAAATGCTGTGTTTTCTAACCTGTAGAAGCCAGGGATCTCCTAGGGACGGAGCCAGCCCACTTTTTCCTGTTCAGTCAGAGAATGTGAGGAGAGAAGAGGTGCCCAGAAAAGCTGAGCAGCATAGAAACTGAAGTGCTAGAGACTGTTTTTCTCTCCATCTCTTCTTCTCAAACTCTATAATCCTTCAGCTAGGCGCAAAGCTCTTTGGAGCCCTTGTCTCTTACATCTCTCTGGACTCCAATACAATGTCCTGGCCTTGGCCTTAGTAAGGGAAATACATGTTCCAGTACAGCTTTGTCTCAGAAGGAGCACTGTTTTACCAGTGTGTTAAAAAGATAATATCCTTACGCTGAGTATGCGGCTTTCAGGACTCTAACTTTTGCAGATTCACCCAAAACCATTGTAGTCATAAAGGATTATACTCCATTTTCAAATGTCAATTTTTAGTCTTCAGTAGCTTCAGAAAGTCTTATTAAAAAAAAAGGACAGAAAAAGACATGTAAAAAAATGGGAAAAATATGAAAATTGAGTTCATGTTTTACTTTGAATTCAAGGGAGGGGTTTAACTCAATGTTGTGCTTTGGAGGAGGATAAATCTTGGGAAATTTCAGACCTAATGGCACATGCTTTGGAATGCTATGAAAATGTGAAAACTTGTCCTAATGGAAAGCATTTTGCAGGTATCGCAATATTGGTATTTCAACACTATTGGTAAGGCAAGTGTAATTATCTCTGAGTAATGCAACTTCAGGATTTTTTTATGTTGACCTACATTGTATTTCTCAAGTTATGAGCAAAGGCAAAAGCCACTTCTGTTATGGGAAAAATAAATGCAGTACATAATGGTTAATTTTGAAATAAAGTGAACACTTAGAGCAGGTGCTTGTGTACAGCTTTAAATACCAACTTGTAAATTGTTTGAACTGCAGCTTACATGATAAAACCTTTGGATTACTTATTAAAATCTTGGAAAACACCTGATGTCCACCATTAGGTTTCTAAAAGCATACAAAAGCGACTGTGCTACATCGAGCTAAAGGTCTGCTGGTTTTGAGAGTAGCCATTAGCAGTTGCCTAGGGAAGAATGCAGAGGCGGGACAAATAAGTGATGATCATCCTCTGAACGCTCTCCCAGTTTCCATCTGTTTGGCACTGAGGAATTTCCTCGACTAGAAATGGTCTTTTATTCGTGATGTTCTCAATGAATTCATGTTTTTGCCTTGTCAGCTTTGTCTTACTGTCTGTGGGCTCCTTGAAGCATTCTAGTATCTGCCATGTCCTATAATGGAGTGCCAGCTTTTGTTACAAATCATGGGGAGATGCAGCTGCTTTTACTTTTTTTGAACTTGCACATGACTTCTGTTTTGATACATGTTGGCCTCTGGTACAGGAAGTGAGCAAAGCTGATTCCTAATCACCTTCTCCAACCCGTTCAGTTTTTTTAAATACCTTTTAAATAAAATACGTGCCTTTCTCCTGACATCATTCTAGGTTGAATGGTCCAAGACTATTGAGTTGTTCCTTATGTAGAAATGGTTCCACAACTGTGGATTTGCATTTTGTGTGAGGCAAGGTTGGTAACCAGGTGTTATATTTTTGTAGACACAGTGACAAAAATGAAGTCCCAAGTATTTACTTGATGGTTTTTGTACCTCTGAAGGAAGACATTTTCTGTATGTTGAAGCAAACCCTTTAGAGCATGCATTGTGTTTTCGGGTGTATGATTTTTATACATTATACTATACAAGATAGAAATTGAGAATGCTATTAAGATGAGATCCAATTTTGGCTTTGGATTTTTCCAGTTATTTTAGAGGACTATTCACTGTGTGTGGATAACTTTGACCTAAAGTAAATAGTAGTGCTTTCTTATATCACTGGAGGTGTGCAAAGGGGTAGTTTTAGCCATATTAATAATACATTTAGTTTTTACCCTTAGAGAAGATAGTTTATTTACCCTGTTTGGTTTACCTGTTAAAAGCAGCATTATTCTGGGGCTATGCAGACTCAGGGCATGAGAGCCTGTAACGGGCTGCGTGACGGGGAGCCACTTAATGAAGGGCTTTTTTAATGTAAGGGCTATTACCCTCCTGGATACAAATGCAATTTGAAGAATGTCTAAATTGTAGTGGACAATAGCGACGTGCTGAGATGGACATCTTGTTTCCGATCTCTCAGATGGATAATGTGCCTGGATTGAATGTGTGCTAATTTTTTTTTAAATTGGTTTTCTAGAAATCAGAGGAAAATAAATTAACAGTAGTGGAGGAAGTCCTTAGTTGCAGTTGTCATCTAGTATGTCTAAAGGAGAACAGATTAAATCTCCAAAGATGTTCCTTAATATTAGAGTGTGTTTCGCACGTGTGTGTGTGTTAGTTTTTACAGTGAAGAGTATTGCAGAAATCAATTTTTTACTTTGGAGAATCATAGAATCATAGAATCATTAAGGTTGGAAGAGACCTCCAAGATCATCGAGTCCAACCGTCAACCCAACACCACCATGCCCACTAAACCATGTCCCTAAGCGCCTCATCTACCCGTTTTTTAAATACTTCCAGGGATGGTGACTCAACCACTTCCCTGGGCAGCCTGTTCCAATGTTTAACCACTCTTTCAGTAAAGAAATTTTTCCTTACATCCAATCTAAGCCTCCCCTGGCGCAACTTGAGGCCATTTCCTCTTGTCCTATCGCCAGTTACTTGGGAGAAGAGACCAACACCCACCTCGCTACAACCTCCTTTCAGGTAGTTGTAGAGAGCAATGAGGTCTCCCCTCAGCCTCCTTTTCTCCAGGCTAAACAACCCCAGCTCCCTCAGCCGCTCCTCGTAAGATTACATATGACCTTACATGTTGTCCCATTTTAAAGAATAAAACTAAATTCACTACTCTGGGGGGAAGAAAAAAGGAAAAGAAACGAAACAGTTCTGAAAAGTAAAATATTACATATTCTGGTTTAGGCTGACGTTTTGGGGTCCCTGGTGGAAGACTGCACGGTTATTT